GCTCACAGGAAACTTTGGCTCTGGTTCTGGGAATAATGAAGTGCTATATTAAAGTAATACATGAGACAATTCTTTTAATTTGCATGGGGACTAATCTGCCTTTTGGACGAATAACTTCCTTTTGCCATCAAAATCCTACCTTGGCTCCAGAGCCTGCCTACTCATCCTGTCATTCCATCCTTGATTCTCCTGTGGGGAGCCAAGTACACATGACTGTCCCACAGTTCTTGGTCAGAGCCCTACTATCTGGGGGCCAATCAGTGAAAAATGTCAACATGAATAAATAAAACTCTTATCAAAGAATAACCTCAATTCCTGGCCAGATCAGGATTAGGTCTGGCTGCATATAACTTAGCAATTCAAAATAACAGTGGTTTATACAACATAATTTATATCTCTCATGTAAAAATAACTTATGGGGACATTAGCTTAGTTCATGGCTTTCATCTTCTGGTACTCAGAACTGGATGTGAGAGTTTTAGCCATTAAATCCATATTCCAAGAAGCAGAAAAAAGGAAGCTTCCACTCACATCTTAGTAGCCAGACTTAGTCATGTGGCCATCTGTTGTCTCTGAGCTGGGCATATTGCTGTTCCTCACAAAATAAAGGGCCTTGAAACTATGGGAGATGGGAGAACAGACCCTGGGTAGAAAAGCAGCAGCCTCTCTTACTCTGACCTATGCCTGACCCCGCTAGATGCTGAATTTGCCCCGTCAAAAGTCCTAATTCTCAGGGATGACATACATATACCATTCCTATTCCTGGTGAGCATGGAAGGATGAAGAAGGTAGAGTTTGTTAAGAGAGAGTTTAGTCTGGAGATAGATAGCAAATTCTCAATGGTGAGGTAGATAAACTACTTTCCAAGTGAGTCTTCTCCCAGATACTCAGAGACTATGGCTGTCCCCTGCTTCATTGTGTATTCCATAAACAAAGGTTTTACCTTCATTTGATTTAATTTTTAAAAAAGTACGTGGCACAAGTGCCATTTTCTCCCTCCTTCCCTTGGGGCAGCAGTCTTCCCTGCTGAGCTGGAACATGAACTCAGAATCCTTCTCAACACGATGTCCCTGGCAGTTACCCTGGTCCAAAAGACTTGGCACTAGTATTTAAACCTACCAGCCATTCTTATTCTTGTGAGAATTTTCATTCTGATGGAGAATCTTGGGTATAATTCTTTACTTCAGGGGAATAAATCTCTCAGAATGGAATTTTAGGTGTATCCATAAATGTAGATATTTGTACCTAGCAGGCTTGGCATTCTTCAGATTTTACCACAAACTGACTGCAATCACCCTTATTGCTGAGCATGTTCTCAACTTGTGACTGTTTACCTTACTGGACTGTGAGTTTCTTAAGGGCTGAAACTATATCTTATCTACTTTTGTGTCTCCAAGGTGCTTGGCTCAGTACACTCTCAAGAAATACTTCATTAATAAGTGAATCACATGCATTGGTCGAGGTCAAGTGGCTATCAAAGTAAATACTTCCCCTATAGCTGGTCACATTGTGGATTGCTTATCACCAAGTACTAAAGGGAGGCCTTACTTTGAGAGGAGGTCATTGGAAAATAAGAGCGTGACAGGAAGAGCATCAATGGTACAAATGCATTGGTCGAGGTCAAGTGGCTATCAAAGTAAATACTTCCCCTATAGCTGGTCACATTGTGGATTGCTTATCACCAAGTACTAAAGGGAGGACTTACTTTGAGAGGAGGTCATTGGAAAATAAGAGCGTGACAGGAAGAGCATCAATGGTACAATAGACAAAGGGTCTCAGAACTGCCTTAGAAATGTTTTGAGTAACTGACACAGGAAACTGGCTACCAGGTGATAAGAAAAGGGCAGTTATATACTGGGCAGATTTTTTTTTCTGAGACTCTAACTCATTTTTTTCTTTTGACCAAAGGTCCAGGTCCTGGGCTAACTTGGCTCAGTGTTTTCTGTGTTCCAGAAGGTGATTCAGAGAGGTGTACAAATGATTGATTCACGTTTGATGAACATGAGTGTGGCTGATATAAAACTTCAATTATTCTCCACCTGATTCAATTAAAGTCGCCTATTTTGGTGATTAAGTAGATCTTATAAATTATATAAGTTAATACTAATATTGCTTATGTTTTAAATATGGTGGTTCCACAGAAAATTTTGTTAAAAAAATAGCTACTACTGCTAAAAAAATTTGAAGAGCACTGACACGATTTGTTCGCCAAATTTCCATATTTACCTCTTTATAGTGACCAAATTCTTGAATAGTGATTATGGAAAAGATGAAGGAAAGTAATTTTAAAATTATTCTTCATGCTCATAGAGTAGGGGTGCGTACAGATCCAGGTTGATGTTTTTTAAGACGGCTGTACATTTTGAGGATAGGGTCTTGTGCAGTGCTGGGTGCTCACCTCTCCTTCCCCCACCCCCAGTCCCCATTCTGGGTTAGATCCACACCCCACTGAGGAACCGTCCCTGCATTTAGATTTCCAAGTGACACAATGTGGAAGATGTGCTAAATGCACATGTTATTTCTACATAATGCTTCTCCTCAACCTTGTTGCTTGCCTTACTCTGCTCAGGAGGGTTGAGCCCCACAGAAACAAGGCTCACCTTTCCCCTTTATCTCTCTTCTTAAAGTCTAGAGCCAGTCCTCAGCAGTCGGCTCCAGCTTCCTTCAGAAGGAGAACAGAAAAGAGAAAAGTGGAGAAAAAACAGTAGAGTCTTTTCCACTCCCAAATGTTGCAGATTTTTCCAATCTGCTTCCCTTCTCCCCTCCTGTTCAGCGATACCTGGAGGTGGAGGCAGGAGGTCAAGGTGAATGCAGTTGAGAGGGGACCTCTTGAACTCTGAAATCAGAACAGGTTCAAACCCTCATTTAGGCCATTTTACAGTAGTTTGACTTTGGATAGGTTTACTTATTGAAGTGTCTTTATTTCTAAAACAGGAGATAACAGCATAGGCTTAGATGTAAAAAATAGTACTGTGCATAGCATTTAGCAGGTATTCAGTAAATGACACCTTTCATTATTATCATTTTGGGCATCATGTTGCCTCTACTCAGAGTTGTTTATTGTTCTGCAATTTTCCCTAAAGTGTCACTGTGTGTGTGTAGGTGGGCGACTGGCAACCAGGTAAATCACTAGCAAGGCTTCAGCATCTATCTTTCCTCTCCAGGCCTGGTGACCAAAAGTCACACTCCTGAATAAGTCCAAACGTGCATTTCCACGGCGAATACAGCAGTAATGTCAAAGAAGAGGTGGGGATGGTGGGGGGAGGGGGTTTGCAGAAAAATCCCTGCAGAACAGTGGCTGTACCACCCTTTGATAAGGGTATATAGTTAATCCTGAGTCCCAGGCATATCCCCCCCACCTCCAGACTCTCTTCCCAGTTAACACTGCCCAGAGAGATGCCCAAATGGGAAGCATGCAGACAGTCATTCTGTCTCTCCTAAGCCAATTAAACCATAACGTTAATGTAAACATTGTACATTTTATGATTAAATAAAAATTATGTAACGTCCCTGAGTGGATATGCCATGCACTTACGGTTCAATGATTGGGTGCTTACTTTCATATAGTGCCCCATATAACAAAGCAGCAATCAGAACAGACAGTACGTTAACCCTTCCCAATTTTCAGCCGTCTTATCCACACATTGCAGCCCAGAAAATCTGAATGTACGAGTAAATTCTTCCCAACAAAGGCAAGAAACAAGCCTTTGTAGTCAGGGATGGGAACCAACATTGACTGAAGTCTCCCACGTGCCAGGCAATTTCACATACCTTCATCTTAGTTAAGTGGCCTCAGTTTAGGCCCTGTTCCCAACAAAACCCGACGGCATTGTAAAAATAAAACAAGGACATTGATGAGCTGTGTTTACGTACTTGTCTCTACCTCACATTATTCTCCTAGAAACTCAAAACAATCTGCAGCTAATTCGACATTAAAATAGCCCTGGGGCCCCCAAGACTTATTTCAGGGCTTCAGTCAAGGTCACCACCAAGTCCTCGGCAAAGCCGAAAATACAAGTGAGTACTCTCAAATCAAGGCCCAACTTCTTTTAAAAACTAAAAAAAAAAAGCCACCCCTCCGCCCCGAGAGGCGGGGGCAGCCTCAGAGCACCCGGGGGGCAGGGCCGTGTCCCCCACCCCCGTCCCCATCCGCGGGCCCCCGGGGACCGGCCGGGACGGGGCGGCGGGGTCGCGGACAGTCGAGTTGAGGCATCAACAGTACCAGTTGCAGAGCGACCCAAGCTA